AAATCATATATTTTTGGTTTTCAATATTCGGACTTTTGGATAATTTTTAGTTCGGATTTGGTATACAAATTTTTTGAACACCCTAAGCATATCTACTGTCAAAGCAAGCATGCGGCAACACAATACATATGTACAGTCTGTTTGAGTTGGAACCAAAATTTAGACCGTATTTGGTTTCCAATTTTATTGATTCCAATGAAATTTGAATATTTGTCTTTTTAATATTTGGTTTTGACAATTTTTGCTTTGCTTTGAGTTTTTTTTTAAGATTGGGATCTTTCGGACTTATTTACATAATTGTCTTTTAATTTTAAAACCAAATCTCGAATTCCGCTCCCTTTGATAGTTTTCAATTAAATTGGGTTATTTTTTTGATTTGGTAGACAAATATCGAATTGAGGAACTCATTAACGCTAGTAACTATCAGTTATTGTACTAAAGGTTGAACTTCTAGGTACGAAACCAGTTCTTCCCTCCTGATAGCTATAAGCCCGTTATAAAATCGTTGAAGCCCATTAAGTTTTATAAAAGCCAACTGGGTACGATATAAAGGAAAGAAAATACCCATCACCTTTAGCATTCATACTTATCATCTCCTGTTTTAACATATAGAATGTGTTTTATTATTACTGTCTAATTACCCATCACCCACATCAATTTTGCAATTGGGTTGTACAATTTTTATAATATAAGGATTGAAGGTTGTCTTGGAGATTAATGACGCGTGTTTAGTTGTGATAAGCATTTCAAATCACAGGTATTATATTTCTATTTTCCTTTCTTCTTATTATCAGATATACTCACATTTTTATTGCTATTATCTAATTAATTACCCGTAATTAGTTGTCACTATATTTAAAGAAGGAATAATGGTAATAAAAATCACAGCTTCACCACGACTACCATTTTGTAAGTCTCTCCTTCAAATCGAATAACTCTACATGAACAATCAAAATTTACATACCGAATCTTCTTGCTGTTTAACTAGAAACAGTTATGTTTTGGCAATGATGAACACTAATCTTTTGCTAACGACAGAGAGAGCAATGTAGCATTTAGATCTACTTACCACTTTTATGTGAGCTACTCTCTGATTTGTAAATTTGTAATGGGTATGTATCACAATACATGAGCCATGATACGTTATGTCGCCCTAATGAAATGTCACTATTCATCAGGGGCGGCTCAATCAGTTTGGGGGCTCTAAGCAAACTAAAAATTTAGGGCCCTTTGACATTTACTATATTTAGTTTTATAAACGCTAATTCAATGGTAATGTACTACACATTTAGTTCCAACCCTGATTGAGTGGTAATGTATTACACATTTAGTTCAAAGATAGATGTTCCTTCATAGAACAAGAAGAACATCATGTTTACACCATATTGTTGAAATTGGAACATATTGCCATACAAACTAGACTACTAGAGCATCCACAAAAGTTATAGCCACATCATATTCATAAATGAAAAAAAAAAAAAAAAAAAAAAAAAAAAAAAAAAAAAACTTAACAAATCATCCATCACAGTGTTCAATTTTTTTGATATTGACACAATGAATATTAAAAAAATTAACCCCTGTTAAGTATTAACCGTAATAGATAATCTATTAATCTGATAATTAGATTCTGATATTCGGACTTCAGATAATGAAACTATGGAAGGTCCGAAGATTGATATACAATTATACATATAACATATATCAAACATAAGCCTAATAGACTAATGGAGAAATAAGAATCAACAATGGAGAATCAGATTATCAGAGGAAGAAGTCAAGAAGAACATACTGTTTCATTGTTTCAAAACTTTCAGTTCCTATCTTCTTATCTTCTTGACAACAATTGACAACCTTGAAGTTTTCAGTGAGGAAGAGGAAGAATCGAGAATCAACTAATCAAAAAGGAAGAGCCGATCAATATTCAATCGATATTGTAGATTGGTAATGGTTGCTTCTTTCGAGATGGAGAATCAGAGAAAGAGAAACGGAGAAGGAAGATCGGAAGAAGAAGAAGAGTCGGCAGTCTCTTGGTTAATGGTTTCTTCTGTGGCGTGCGCGAATACGAATGGAGAATCACTAATGGATATTTGGGTTAAATGGGGCCCCTTAGAATTAGGGGCCCTAAGCCCTTGCTTAATTTTTATTGAAGTAAAGCCGGCCCTGCTATTCATACACAACGAAAAAACCTAACAACCCGCGACAAAGCGCGGGCCACAATACTAGTTTTTATTAAATGTTAATGTATCGTTTTGATGTTGATCACATATTTGTTAACGGAAAAACTTGATATCAAACTGAAAAAACTGAAAAATATTGAAATCGGACCAAAAAAAACCGGGACCGGGACCGGACCGGATATTCATATGAGTCGACCGGTTTTCGGGTTTTGTTTGTACCACTAATCAGGTTTCGGGTTTGGACCGGACCGGACCCGGAATATGAGATTTAATCCTGACCGGACCGGAAAACATTTTCACCTTAATAATTTTTATTGATATCACTTAAAAATATTTATATTTATGACGTTTCCAAATAGAAATAAATGAATTTTAAGGATTTATGTCATCGTTGTTATGGACGTAATCATTATAAAAGTCAAATAAGAATTTGTGAAATATGTAATAAAAAAATATATATGCTTAATTGAATATAATAATACTTTATTTTTCACCAAAATATATTGCATTTGTTTTGAAGAACACACCATAAAACTTGTTACATTTATTTCATTACTGTACATTGAGTGACATAATTTTACGAGATATCGATTTAAAAAAATTCAGATTGATATAATGCTACTTATTATCTTTGCATTCATCTTCATTTATGTATCTTTTAGTCGAATTTTACAAACAAAAAATATATGAATGATGGATGTTACGTAGTCTGGCCCGTTGCTCATCCCTAAACACTAGTAATTATCGGTTATTGTAATAAATATTGAACTTCTAGGTACAAAACCAATTCTTCACTTGTCCATATAGGCATATAGCTATAAGCCCGTTATAAAATCGCTCAAGCCCATTAAGTTTTATAAAAGCCATTTAGGCAAGTCGGTACAATATAAAGGAAAGAAAATACCAGTTTTTTGCGAATCCGTCTAAAATGAGATTGGACTGAAAAATACCAGTTTGAATAAAGATTGAATAAATCTACAAAAAGAACGGACTGTTTCGAAGCTGATCCCTAAAAAGACCGGACAGTTTTGAGACCAACCGAAAACCTGTCCTGAAAAAGATCGGAAACGAAAGTTTATGTAGATATAATTTTTGTGTTAATAACACAATACCAAACTTCTCTTATTTATTATTTTATTAAATTTTAGACATTTTTATTAAATATTAACGTATCATTTTGGTGTTGATCACATATTTGTTAAAAGAAAAACTTGATATCAAACTGAAAAATATTGAAACCGAACCAAAAAAAATGCACATAGAAACCGCAAGACCGGACCAAAAAACACTAAGACCGGTCTAAAAAAGACTGCACCAAAAATGACGGGTCTCGAAAAAAATGGATCGTTCTGAAACCGTTCCTAAAAAGACTAGATTGTTTCAAGACCGAAGCGAGACCAGTCTAGACTGCCAATGTGTATCTCTAATTATATATATATATATAATATATATATATATATATATATATATATATATATATATATATATTATATATAGGCTTATGTTATTTTGTTTAAAGTAATTATTGTGTTATTGTATGCATAAATGTGGGCCAATCAAATTTACTTATTTTAAGAAAGTGATTAATATATATTATTGAATTAAATATAATTGAAAAAATCATCTTAAATAATTACAAGGGTAATTTAGTCAATTAATGTAGATTTAATAAAGGAAAATAGCATTTTTTTAGGGATCATATATTCTATTAATTTTAAAAATCCGATTTTACGAATTATAATTCTTTTAATTCGGACATTCTAACAGAATATGTTTATGAGTATATTCAAAAATAAAAATATTCTTGAACCATAAATAATAAAAATATTTTTGAACCTATTTGTTGATCATGACTTTAAAAAGTTCTTGTAGAATAACAAATTCTTGAACAATCAATTGACGAATAAAAACAAAAAATGCATTATTTCTTATAGAATACGGGTAACAATTGTTAGGAATTACATTTATTGTTAAAGAATAAAACTAAAAAAACTTTCAAAACGGGAAAGAAAACATCAAAATCTAACAACGACACTTATACATTCTAAAAGAATAATGTTGCTTAGAATCACTTTCAATTTTGTGGTCCGTTCTTCAAGCATCAACTTCTGTGAAAACAAAACAAAATTGTAGTTTAGATTCCAATAATGCATTAGCAAATGAAAAATAAAAAACTAAATTCATTTGGAAAAAGATGTGGACTTGTGAATTGCACCAAAACCAATAAACAAGAATTGTAGAACATGCATAAATCAGTGAGAAAATATCCATACTCCATTCCAACAGAATTAGAATTCATGATTCCATTCCAACAGAATTGGAATTCGTGATTCCATTCCAATAGAATTGGAATCTCACCAATATCATCCATTGAATCATCTACATAAACAAATTAATTCCAAATGAAAGAAGCATCAAAGCATCTATGTATTTTACTAATCGTTCTAGACTTGTACAATTCTAATTCAAACATAACTAAAAATGAAATATAGTCAAACAACTCAAAGTTAAAAGTCTAAGTCTAATATATTAATTGAAACCCTTTCTTATTAGTTCTAATTGAAAGCCAACTTGCCTACTGCCCACTAAACAAATCTTTCAATCCAATTCGGATTCAAACCAAGTTTAAAACCCCTAAAATTATTCATGCTTAGATGGAAGTTTGAAGCCAAGACATAGGAAAATAATTAATATCATCGATGGTGTATCATTATCAACCAATCAAACAAACTATCAATTGTATCAATTATCAAAACTTAAATCACAACAACATCAAAACTTAAATCACAACAACATCAAAAAATTCATATCAATTACCAAACATCAGATTTGAGTTCTTTTTGGTTGTTGATTTGGAACTGAATTGGAGGCAGATCCTCCAATTGTATATTCCAAAATCAACGCCCATCCCATTATCCAAGCAAGACTGAAAATTAGAAAATGGTAATATCAGCATTCAATAATTTTACAATATCAAAGCATATTAAGAATTTGAAGATGAAGAACCTACCCTTCTCCAACACAGATGTAGGAATAATGATAGGCACTTCCAGCTGAAGGGCAACGACTTGCAAGCTCAGCATAACAAAAGGCAGAGACAGCAGCTGCTATACCAGCAATAAGGAAAGAAAAGGCCAAAGCAGGGCCAGAATGTTCTTTAGCAACTGTACCCACAAGAATGTAAACCCCAGCTCCGATCGTCGAACCTTGTTTTCGTCCACCACCGAGAGGCTGAAGACCAAGAGGCTGAAGAGAGTGGCGGTAGCGTTCTCCGCCCCCAATACGGCGGCTGTTGACTGATATGGAGGGTGTCGTAGAGTGTTCCATTGGACATGAATTCCACTACCAGCAACCGATTTTGATGTGGGGTGTTTGTGAATCCGACTAAATTAACGAGACGAGGGCTGTGGATTTTTGACAGGATGTCGATTTCGTTTTCGACTTCGTTTTCCAGCAAGGTGGAGATGGTGGAATGACGGTGGTTGTGATGAGAGGGTTTTTTGACGGCGACGAGACCTCGCTACACCCACAGAAGCCACAACAGCCTCACTGCGATTCCCGTTTCCTATCTTCGGCCTTCCACCAATCGACAGCACCCCTTAACGATTCCTGCACCATATTTCTTGGGTCTCCTTTACCTGCGCTCATTGTTTGTCGTCGTCCATATTTGCCCGATCAAAAAGAACACGGGTTTAAAAGCCCTAATCCTTTAAGTGGATCCAGTTGTTGAAAGCAAAGATAAAACCCTTATTTATTTATTTGTTTAGGTTATAAATCAATACCATGATTATAGGGATTATTTTTGGAAGTTACTAAACAAATTACTAAATTACCCTTATTTATTTATTTAATTATTTAATTTTGATTGGCCCACAATTATGCATACAATAACACAATAGATACATTAAACACCTGAACCTATCTCTCTTCTCTCTCTCTCTCTCTCTCTTCTAGATATATATATATATATATATATATATATATATATATATATATATAATATAATATATATATATATATATACACACATATTAAAAGTGCACAAGCTTATGAAACAATAATTGGCTGAGTAACCAACCAGTTACTGTTTATTAGCTACTCCTTGATTTTAGCCGATCGTCGACTTCTCCCACTACCGCCCCTCTCACCCACCTATTTTCCCACCGTCTTCTTCACCAATCTTATTCTTCCACATCGTGTTTTCTTTATTGATACCGTCTATGTTTGGTTTCATGTGCCCCAAATTACCATTGACGACTTCATCGATTCAGATTCTTCACACCTTTCTAGCCGTATTTACTCATCAATACGTCCAGGTTACATCAATTTTCCTATTGATCATCTCCACCGCCTCACGAGAGAACAAATATGGAGTTCTACTTCAAAGCTCGGCCAGGAAACTACACCATTTTGGGTCCTGACAAATTAAAGAAAGAAGAACTCATCCAATACGGGTTTCCCTAAGATATATAGTATAAACGCTCCTTTTTCGGTCTCTTTCATTAATTTAAAACGTCAACGAATCAATACCTGTGGGTGGGGGTGTACGATTATGGAAATTGGATGACCCGATTGTTTCTGTGATTTGTCGTCCAGGCAATAAGACCAAAAGTAATTGATAACTTCACCTAATTTCTACCATGCTACTCCGATTCCTCATTTCTTAACTCTCAATCTTCGATTGTGAACCACAACTAACCCTCCTGCCTGATGGCTGAGTTGCTGACTTCCGGTGACACTTTGGTGTGCATCTTCTATTATGTAATTTGGTTGTTGTCTCCTGCGGTTTTATGCTTAAACTTTGTTATGCAATTTACCTTTTATGTACACTATTGTAAGGAAGTGATATAAGATCAAATTGAAAGTCTTCTTTCTCTGGAATTTCCTCAATTTCTGATCATTATAATCAAATTATGTTTCTTCAGTTTAAGGTTTGTGTCTTTACTTTCTTTGTTTCATAGGTCTTAAGCGCTAAGCCCTTTTTTTGCTTGGAACCTCTTCAATTTCAGCTACTTATGCTGAAATAGTGTTCCTTAATCAGAAGAAGAAGGGGTAGTGTGAAGGGTATGACATCCGGAGGATTTTCCCATGAAACTAACATGCTCAACGGTGGTGTAGCGCTTGATCCAAGTATTATTCATTTTTGGTCCCTTATTTATAATGTTGTTGCTTTTTGGCCTTGTTTTGCGAGTTGAGGGGGAGGAGGGACCATTTCTGCCAAGTTCAGACTTTTGGAGGCGGAGTTTGAACGCGGGGCGTTCCCTTGGGGAAAGCATGGCGTTTATGCATGGAACGCAAACCCTAATTTTTAGGGTTTGATATGTATTTAAACACCTTAAGTCCTAGGTGTTGGCTCCCATTTCCACCCTCCATAGCTCCCAAAACCCTAATCTCGAAACCCTAGGGCCTCCAAGAGTGTTGTGAGCTCATTGTGTGTGTTTGAAGCTCATTCGAGGAAGAGAAGCTTGGTGCAAAGTGGTGGTTCAAGTAGGAGCTTATAAATCTTGGTTCTCTGCTCTATTTCCAGCCCATTTCAGGTATAAAGCTCTAACCTTGCTCATTAGAAGCGTAGATCTATGTCTTAATGGATTTTAGTCCCTTTTTGGTCCCTTAGTTGAGGTCTAGTAGTTTGTGATCACTCCAGAAGCTTTGAGTTGCTTCTCTTGGTGTTTATGAGGTTCTAGATTCATAAAGTTTGCATCTTTAGAGTTGTATAAACTCCATGCATGAGATTAAGCCCTTTTTATGGAAGTTAAATGCTATATCTTGGAGTTGGGACCTTTTGGAGCATGCAAAGTTACCAAGTCAGTAACTTTATGGTCCTAGATGTTCTTTAGGACTTGGATCTGTGTTTTGGTCGTGTAGCTGTAAGTATTAAGTGCTTAATGACCATTTTTGGGAGTCAGCATGCGAACGCCCAGTGTTCCGGCTAAGGTTCGCGATCTGTTGGCTGCTGATGAACGCCCAACGTTCCACAAGGGAACGCCCAACATTCGTTCCATCAGTGGGCTTTTTCCTTGGGCCATCTTTTGGACTCTTGCATTTTGGGCTTGGTTTTGGGTGCTATTTGTTGGGCTTAGTTTGGACTGAAGGTTTCCATTGTAGTGTTGGACTTCTTGTTAGGCTTGTCTTGTTGGGCTTGCCCTGTTCGGCCTAGGATTGTATTTTGGGCCTTAGTGGGCCTAATGGATTTGGGGCTTAGTGGGCCCAATGGACTTTGACTATTGGTGGGCCTGGTTAGTTGGGCCATTTGTGGGCCTAGTGTTTGAATTTAGCCATAGTTATTTACTGAGTATAGCCTTGGGTTTGGCCCAGTGGTAGGAGCCGATTCGTAGAAGCCGCAACATTTGTAGGATTTAGCTATCTTTGAGGTGAGTCTTCTCATCATACTCATGGGTCGAAGGCACCAATGCCGACCCATTATCTGATATGTAATAATTAGTTGATATGTAATTGTATGCTTTGTGGTATGGATTGTTTTATGTGAAGACCATAGGGGAAGCCCATGACACTTAGTTATCAGACCATGAGGGGAGCCCATGGCATTCCAGGTAAAGACCATGGGGGGAGCCCATGACACTTGGTTATCAGACTATGGGGGGAGCCCATGGCATTCCATGTAAAGACCATGGAGGGAGTCCATGGCAATTCATGTACGATTTTCTATTTCATGGTTTTTATGTGACTGTATGTTTAGTGTATTTTGGGAAACTCACTAGGCTTTTGCTTACAGTTTGTTGGGTGTTTCAAGTACTTCTGTCTCTAAGGGCAAGGGCCCGGCTTGATGGCGCAGCGTGCACTCTCCGGTATTCCGCACTAGTTGTTTTGTTACTATGATCTTTTGAACATTATATTATGTAATGGTTTTTGTGGGAAACAAATATGGATATTATTTTTAGTAAATTAATGAAAAATTTTACCTAAGTTTTTGGGCTGTTACAGGTGGAGATGAATTTCTGCCCACCAGGTATTCGATGAAATGCATATGTCAGTTGTTCCATTTCCTTATCATCGTTACACCTGTAATTTATGATTTCATAGCCAAATTTAGTATCATCATACGTTTTCTTTTCATGCCAACAAAATGTCATATGATGTAAATGGAATGGTGTAAATGTGATCTTTTCAAAGTCCATTGGTTTATAGTGAAACACAAATAAATATAGGATGTTATAATTTGTACATTTTTAGAATAAACTTATACTGTTTTGAGATGACATGAAAGTTGGGATGTTAAATTGGTAAATTTTACAATTTTTAAAGTTGGAAAAAAATTTAATATGATGTTTTCCATTACTTCTGTTATCTATTCAATGTTTCATGTTTTTTGCAGCTTTTCTAAATCCTTTGGTGATTTGTATCCTAGACGGCCATGAACTATACGCCTTTCATTTTCGACGACGGTGCTGCGATAAATGTTACTCTCTGGTCAGCTAATCTACATTATACAATTTTGATTACTAATTAGAACTAAATGTCTAAATGCTTCCAAATCATGTAAAAGATTTTAGTCTTTTCCATAGTTCTAAATGATGTTAGGAGTGAGTTGGCGGCAATGTCAAGCCTCAAGCTTTTACGAGTTGTGGCAAGTTACGTCATTGGTAAGGCATGACTTAAGGCGGCAATTTGGTATGTAACAAGATATATAGATATAGATATATATAGATATATATATCTTATATATATATATATATATATATATATATATATATATGATATAATACTTAGAGATATAGATATATATATATTATATATACTTATATCTATGACTTAAAGCAAAATTTTGTCAAATCTTGGCGTGCAGTACACGCCTTGGAGCCATGGCGAAGCCACATCGAGCTTTTTAGAACCTTTGTTTTTTCTATTACGTAGCTCCAGTTTCTTAAATTTGGATTTGATATTAATACAAGGTGTAACGTCCCGATTTTCAACCCAAAAATTTCATTTTTATTTATTAAAATATATAAGAATATAATTACATTGTGCGGAAACATGTTGTGAATGCATGCGTGTACATTCGAACCTTTCCCTTTACATGAGTACCTGGAAAACATGTATATTCAACTAGGTAACTGCTAGGCTTAGTGAGTTCCCTAAAATACCATATACCACAATATATATACATACATACAAACAATGACTCACTATCTGCAACTATTTTATGTATTTTAGACTTACGGCCCACCCATTTTGTCTTCAACACGAGTCTATGTGTACTTACGACCTACACGTCATTTCGTGAACATGATTCTATGTGTACTTAATTCCTACATGTCATTTCATCAACACGGGTCTATGTGTACTTACGACCTACACGCCATTTGTCA